GCGTCGAAGAACCTATTCACGTGTTCGTGCACGTCTCCGCCATCTTCCATGCGCTGGAGGGTCAATTGTTTTAAGAGCGTCGCTTTTCTCGCTGGCCCCTTCGATTGATATATGCCCTCTAATTTCAGCCAGACTTCGCGAGACGTCGTGCACCCTTTTACCTGTTTCAGCTCAGAAGGGCTGATCGATAAGATAATATCGGATTTGGCTTTCTTATCGTTCGTTATCCACGCGCTCTTCGCGGCTCGTTCCGCGTCGGTTGACTCGGCAGTCGGTTGTATAAATTCACCGCTCACGTATGACCACGCGTCGTTTCTTACCAGTAACGCTTCCATTTGCATCTTCCACGTGTCATAATTTTCTTTGTTGAGGGTTTCAATTCTCGACATACTGGACGCGTACATTTTTGTTCTCTAACGATCGAGCCGCGTGATTCTACTCTCAGTTAACTTCCGGCACAATACAATTTCGAATTTTATTTCCACTCGATATTCGGTCAGTCTGGGCCCATAACCTGTTAGCAGAGATTATGCGAGATCTGATCCTTGGTAATGGCGAGCGTGAATGATGTACTGTCCGTGATGGAGAAGAAGCACGTGTAAACTGGGTAGAGGCACGTCGTGAAGTGAAAGTTGCGATACCTGAAACGATCAAAGGGCGGAAGCGAAAACAGGATATAGGTGGCGCGCTAGGAGCCAGGATATAGGGTGACGAGCTAGGAGCCCGCGGGTCATTTGAAGTGTTTCTTCTTACAATAATTAATCCAAACTCATTTAGTGACAGTCTGAAATAAAAGTCATTTGAAATATCAAACACTAATTATCATAGTATTTCTAATATTGATTCATATATAAATAAATGACATATAGATTTATAATTGTACCTAAATTGAATTATTGCGCTACTTAAGATTATTAATTCATGTAACATAATTTAGAACGTTAAAAAATAAAACAAGTTTTATTTATAAATTAACCAGTATTGAAAATAAGATGATATTACTGTTGACATTTCATATGACTTTTACCTGAGTTTGTTGCTAAAAGAGCTTAGATTAATTATTTTATTCGCGAGATTCAAGAGACCTTTTACCACGACTGCTAGTTATTAATAGACGATGTCTAAAATAAGTTTAAAAATCATTTTCAATTTATTATCATAAAGAAAAAATGTATTTACATATACATTTATAATTTTGTATGTTAAATCTATTATAATACTTAAGTTCGTTATGTCACCTAAAATAATTTAAAACGTTCTCATGTAAAGTAAATTTCTCTTATAAACAACTAAATATTGGATACACCATGATAATGACTGCTCGACATTTCAAATGACTTCTACCTCAGTCTGTTACTAATTTGTCTTTGGATTAATTATATTATTCGCGAGATTCGAGAGAGTAGTCGATCGCCTTTGTTTTCCAGAACCTTGAAGTGATTTATGAAAAAGGTTGTATTGAGGCTGGGGAAGAATGGGTGGAACGAAATCTCCTCGCGATTGCGACTGGCGCGATTGGTACAACATTTGCACAGGTATCATTTCTTTACTTATATGCATTCTGTTCGTTCCATCAGGCCTGAAACGCTTTAATACGGTTAAATATATATACCTAATACAATACTACATTGAAAATCTCGAATTTCCATTCTCTTCGTATTAGAAAATTGGAAAGAAATAACTCAACGAACAGATCTAAGATAAAAGAACAAGCTGTATTATATATATAATACCGTATTATATATAACCGTATTATATATACCGTATTATATATAATACCGTAATGATTAAACATTTTCTATGAAACTTTTGTCAATGGATGAATGAGGCTTCTTTAACAAAAAAGACACTATTCATAGTAACGCGCAGATAATTTTAAAACGCCACCTCTAAGAACGCATGCTACTAATACGTTACTGCTTTATTGATCAAAGTTTCATACGAGTATAATGAAAACTAAAAATTACATCTTAATTTAATTTAAAAGCCGACGGATGCATACATTATTTAGCATAACTGTTAATAAATTGTGATCTTGATATTTTTAATGTGCTTCGTTTTTTATTCATATTTGACAATGACTATATTTAAACATGGTTACAATTTTAATATTATCGGTTAGTTCTGACAACATTTTTCGAGATCTTCGATGTACATGATGCTGGGAATGGACTGAAATGTTTTTCATGTGAAATCTTAGCCATTTCATATATACTATTTTGTCGAGATCATATTTTCGTATTACTATTTTGTACTCGTATTACTACCGAGTAATATTTTGTACCTTTTGTGTTTGTGTCTTTGTATACTAATCAATATTAATAACAATAATAATTTTTAGTCAAAAATCGCAACAATCTGGAATTATTATACGAGTTGTCTTCCCCACTTCCATACGAAAAGATTTGTATTAATTTTCATGAAATATTATACAAAGAAATTGGTAATTACAATGGATATTCATTTTCTATTGATTGAGTTTGGTCAATTGGGTTTGATTGGAACTTAAACATAGATTTGAATTTGTTTCAACTATAGCTTCAATTTCCTTTCAACGGTTAGATAATTTGTAAATAGAATTAAAGTTTCACTGTTTCATAAATTCAGCTTTCTAACACAAGGCATAGTCTATCTCTAATTGCTAAATTTTCGTACCATCTACATAGTTTGTTTGCTTAAACTAGGCATGTGTGTGTATCGTGTGGTTTGACAAATAGCTGTTGCATGCGACTGATTGAAACCGTTTGCTCGTTTTCAATATTCATGTTATAGTTTACAGGTTTTAATAATTATTTTATAATTTCCATTCGTCTGAAGTTGGTGGGAAATAAATGGTCAATTGCTATTGTGTTTGATATTTTACATGTCGACATTTAATATCCATACAATTTCTTTTTTAATTTTATAACTGAATCTAAACACTAAATATTAAGAAATATTTCCTGCTATAATAAATTCCACTGAATTGAAAAGTAATCATGCATCGTGTAATTTTACAATTTCTCAAATATTTTATAACAATAAATTAGTTTGTTATAGAGTTCTATAAAGCTCTAAAATATTTAATTTTACTATCATCGATGTGAAGGAAAAAGAATTGTACCAAAACGACACTAAAAGCTGTATCGTTAAAAAAAAAGCAACCATCTTATTTTCCGCCAATAAAATGTCTCGACTATTTTCATACAAAAAATTTCAATTACTTTAATGAGAAATCGCCTGCAAGATCAAGTAAACGGAATGTTATTTTCAGATTCTAGGGATCTGTTTCGCCCAGAATCTGCGAGCGGACATATTCGCGCAGAAGGCGAAATGGCATTGACAATCCAGAGCCCCCACGGCTGTGTAGCATCTCGTTTTGATCGATACTAATCGGTTCTGTTGATCGAGAGTGAAAAAAACTCATGAAGAACGTGAGAGAAAGAGAAAGAGAGAGAGAGCGGATCGGGACGGACTGTTCTGAAATGTCTCGGCTATCTTTCTAGAGCTTGTTAATTGAGGAAGAAACAACGGAAGCTGGCGAATCAAGGGGCAAACAGCGTATCGGGACCTTATGGTCGATCGACGCGAAGCCGTGGGGGCTAAACGGTGGACGTGGCCGATTTCACCGCAAAGTAAACTCTCCTACAGCCGTGATACCTACTGCCACAACATACAAGTACACAATAACTTTCCGTAGCCCCAATTGGTCGTTAAAACGGTTACTGGGGCCACTTAGGCATATTGATCCTGTATTACTCGCCGACGCGTTCCCTCCATCGAAACACAATAATTAGCGACGAAGGGCCGAATAATCGATCGCAAACCTACTTTCGAGTTTATTGGACATTTTACCGTTTCCTTTTAATAGCAATCGCGACGATTCAGGTGTTACTGTCGAGCTGCTTATATACTGAGGCAACATCGAGGACCATTTCGTTGACGTTCCATATTTCATGAAAAAATTTGTCGACGGCGACAAATGCGCATGTTGCCCGTTTCCGTTCGAATTGTTAAAGATCAAAGAAAAATAAGAAACACGCGATAACACGGGTCAATGGACACAAATGTTCCTCTAGTATATACAAAATTTGTCATTTAGTTTAGAAACGACATAGAACGCGAAGCTTAAAATCTTTCTCGAATTATGGTGCTTCATTGTGGAAAACATGTTTATTGGAAATATTTTGAAACGTGCAGCAACAAGAGTCGAGAAAATATGGTTTAATGTTGTCTCAGTGTAGACGCAGCTTTAAGTTGCCGGTGTTTGTACACACTGCCATTCTTGTAGACTATGTCGTCGATAAAATGCAACCAAAGGAAAACATCTTTCAATCATCAGAGAATCTGTCGGGATAGAAAGTATCGTGTATCAACGATTTTGAAAATCCGTTGAAAATCCAATATGTTTTAAAAAGACACTTTGCAATCGGTTCTTCCAAACGTTTGTCGCATCTTCTCGCGTTTCAGAGGTGGGCACGATTTTGATTTAAACGAAAGGTGTCGAACGACGTTTGTATACACAGATTTTGCTTGTTATTCTTCGATTAAATCGGAATTTCAAACTGAAAAGTAAAAGGATATCTAGACTCGATAGGAATCAAAAAGCTGTTTCCATTCGTTGTCTTCAATTCAAACAAAATTGTGCCCATCCTAGCTATTTAGTAATATGATATTATCGTTATAAATAATCAATTTTTGCTTCTTATTCCTTTAAGTGAAGGAAGGAGACCGTTTTATTCGAAGAACAATGCTAAGTTTTATGGAGTATGTGTGACTTGAAAGCAAATTATTTAGACCAAATGAGTAGCTAAATGTTTTGTCTAACTTGTGGTTCAGGTGAGATCATCTGAAATATACTTGAAAGAACTCGATGATAAGTTTGTTGCCAGCGTGAACAATGTGTTATTCTATTTTTAAAATAACAATCAGTATTAAGTGTTGACCTTAAGAGATTCGCATTCCTTATATTTTCTTTGTTTATTCAAACATCCCTAAAAATGGATAAACTATCAGAATCATGGTTTGAGCGTCAATTACGTAGAGCTGTCTTCTTTCATAAGATGAGAAAAGCAGTCCTTAATCAAGAGATCTATTCATATTGGCATGCATGTGTATATAAGATAAGATTTTTTATTTACCTCTTGCTTGCTTCAATCGCCGACAGAGAAGCCTCCACCCACACGAAAATATTGCCGGCACTTCATGTTTCGTGTTTACTATGTGTCGTATTTTAGCTTCTGCCCCTTTCTACTCAATCATCATATTGGACATGGAAGTTCACATTCCAACTTCGTGTCAATTCCGACCGCACCCTAAACAGCTTTCATTCTACGGTTAAGGTTTGCTCTTCCGTCTACCTTTGTTCTAGTTCCCTCCCTATATTCGTTTCCGGTCACACACTCGTCCGACAGTGTATGTACTCAACGAGAAGCTTCTACTTGGCCAGGAAAAATAGTAGCCACAGTAGTCCCCGCTTAATAAACGCATTTTCTCCCCTCATATTTGCAGAGTTATCACCCTCATTTCTCGAAACTGCTCGTAGCTTCCGTTCTGTTCCATTGCTACTTGACTCCTCAGCATTGCCTCCAATAAGAAGGGGCTTTTTCAATTATGTGCGTGACGCGGTCCGCGTCTATTATCATGTTTTCTCTAAACACGTATCGCAGAGTCATTAAGCTTGTGCACAAAATTTTTAAACGGCAGAATTAAAACAAATTTCTACCTTTAATGCAAAGACATGGTCGTCGTAATACAGTGAAAGCAAAAGCCATTTGTACATATCGTTAGAGCGAACTGTCCGCATATTAAAATAATAATTTATCGTAAACCAGACAACTGAGATTAAAACTATGAAAATCGCAATTACTTTCCCACCATGTTACAGTTCTCAAAGCATAATAATGACGAAGAACAATAACCGAACAAATCATCTTAATGAACCTGCCAAGTGGAGACTAGTGTACATTTTCATTCACAAGCTTGGAGAACATGAATCCTTAAACATGTCTAATAATAAATTTACAGTACTATTTCCGTTGATAATATGAATATCGTAACAGTAATGATTTTACACATGACAGTTGTTCATTCACACGCGACAAGAAGGTCTAATTGTATTTCCGGCAGTCTTCTCACGAAACAAACGTGTTTGCATCGCGTTATCCTCTCTCCAAGAAGGAAGAGGACGACAGCCTTCATCAATTTGCACACATTCCGTTTCGTCCTACTTCTCTTTTAATCTTCCACTCCTTTCCTTTTACTATGGCCGGGGAAGTAACAAACGAGCAGCCATTCGCAGGCAAGATAGAAGCAGTTTCGCTCCAATCTATTACCGTAATTTCTGTGTCGCCCGTAAGGATGGCTATATCACTGTTAACGCCATCCTTTCTACCTCTGTCAGCAATTTATCTCGACTGTCGCCATCTAGTATATTCACGGAAGGAAAGGTCCTTTCAAATAGACGAATATTATAGGCTACCTCGCCCTTAGTCATATTGCATCGTTCAATGTCTCGTAATTCTTTACGTTGCGGTCACGAGACCACTTTTACAATGGACGGTGCCATGTTCGTCACAGTTTCATATCGTGACAGTACAACTCTGTGTATCGATTGCCAACTGATCGAAATATTGTTTCTTTCTCATGGATGACAAAAGCATCGAGTGTTGAAAAAATATGCATTCTTGCCGCCTGTCTCTTAAGCATTGGCATTCGAGTATTATTCTTCAAGATATCATTTTCGAGAAAGAGTTTGGAATATTTGTAGAAAATCCTGTCTAGATTCGAGATTTTTTAAAGCAGTCTTCAATTAAACATTTAACTTCGTCACCATTTCCTGTGATTCCATAGTTTTTAGGTTCGTTTCGAAATGAATTTCTATAAGTAGACTACCGCGGCTTCATGCATATACGACAAAGATGAACAGATCAGACACCAAATTGTAATAACATTAAAAAGAATACAAGTACGCAATTATATTATTTTCAATTATTACAGTTATTAAAAGTGGAGAAACATTTCCATCTAACTTGTGTCTCTTACAATTAACTTAGACAATTGTTATTTTGCATAAAGATCCGCAGTTTACTTATAAGACGTAAGTAACCTTTTTTAGACCATTCTTTGTTGCTTAAGCAATCATTAAAATTTTTGAATATCCTCAATGAATACCAAAGAACGTACGACTATGAAAACGAATTTTATTTTAGGCGTTCCTACCTCCTCGTACATAATGTGTGATTAATATAGGTCGTGCAGGAGTTTCTAAATTCGGTCTACATAAAACGCAAATTCAGTTGCTATTCCAGGCTCCATTTATTGTTAGCATCCAGGTCGAATCCTTCTTCTACTATTCATCTTGTAGCTCTTACGTCAAAGTCATTCCATTTAACCCCTTACGAAACTCTTCGTATGCTGAATTCCATTATAATTTGGAAACCTAAATTTACATTCCATTTTTCTACACGCAACTAGCGCAATTCTACAAATTGCACCTATCAACCATTCACTTATTCTACAAATTACACCTATCAACCATTCACTTATTCTACGAATTGCACCTATTTACCATCCACTTATTCTACGAACTGCATGAAGTTTACGATTTTTTCAACAATTCCACGCGAAAAGCTGATTCCATGTGTATCATAATAATCTACCTTTATCGTACGATCTAAATAATGATAATGTAAAAATAGGTTTACTATTAAATCTCGACTGAATTAAGAATTATTTTCCAAACTGTGTCACACACACACATGGACCACTAGTTCCTCAATGACGAATGATTCTGAAACGTTAGACCACACGCTGATGGTTGCGAGGGACTTTTGCGTGACGCAAAACGCACGTCAACTGCAATTATTCAATTCAGTTTTCAGACTAGTTTAACCAGTTTTACTTTGACATGGCAAGAGAAAGTCACGAACTGCATACTTCTATTTTCAAGACTATAATTGAAGGGCTCTTAAGAATATGGACGTTCCTCAAAAAATGGCCTTTTGAATTGCACTTTCAGAAACTATAGATTTACCTGTACATGCCAACAAATTACCAACTTTAAACGTAGTAATTGGATAGCAAACACGAGGATTTAGTTGTGTCGGTGTTACGGTTTTCTAATGAAACAAAACTTTAAAGTCGAATATTTCAAGATACAAGTTTTTAAAAAATGTCCATATTACTAAGAGCCTTTTAATTTGTCTACACAAGTTGATCAAATACTCCAAAGCATTCCGAATTATAAATTTTTGTCGATATTTCTGAAATTATAGTGCATTTCTTAAAGTGGTCTCACCTAATTAGAGCTTCTCACAGATAAACGGGATGTCTCGGATAATAGTAGAACCAGGGGGAAGATTTTGTTGAAGGTTTCATGCTAAATTAAGTCGAAAAAGTAGAATTTCCAGCCTGTTTGAAGGAATAAAAATGAAGTGCGAACCTCTTTTCTCTTTTTTCGACTTACTTCTGCTAGCAAAGAAATCGTATTATGCTTTCAAGTCCAAAATACCATCCAAAACATAGCGTTGTCCTTTCCTAATTGATCCTTCGAGTGAGACAAGTATTGTCAATAACGTTATGATAAGCAATATGAATGAGTTATTACTTCGAGCGACATGTACACGTTTAAAGTGACCGCCGAAACTATTAAGAAACTGAACACTGTGAGAATGACAATCATACCGTTTATTGACACAATAAAATATCGTTTCTAATACTTTGTGATATTCCTCATAGTAGCTACGCGCATTCCTTTCTAAGTAGACTTGAATAATGACGGCATATGTTGAGATTCTAGTCCGTCCGTTTAAAAATTGATCTGTTATCTAGAAGAAGTTGATCCATACCATTATATTTGTTATTAGAAATCGAAGTTAGCTGTTTTTTTTCGTTTTTGACTATAAGCACACTCGGCTTATTCGATTCGTTCTCCAGTAAGCTTTATTTATCTTATAAAACGTTTTAATTTTATGAATACAGATTATATCTGTCTGACTAAAATACTATGATTCCATTATAAAAATGTAGTCTTCCATTTTTAGAGGAACATAATTTGAGTGTAAATTTTCGAATTTTATTTGTTACAAAAATTGAATACTTGTTGTCAATACACTCGTATTGAATAATTGTTCGCAGAATTAATGCAATGAAAACTATACTGAGGCAACATTTTTTAGAGATAATTGAAGTCGATTTTATTTGGACAATTGAAATTTTTAGTGTCTTGTAGTTAATATATACGTAAACATTTTAAATGTATTTAAATGTATTTATGTATCGCTGTCACTGCCGTGAAAACGATAAAACTATCACTGAATTTCCAAAGGAACGAACGAATCGAATGCGCTGACTGTGCACGCAAAGGACGTTTCCGATTGAGAAGTGACGGTGAATTCATTTCTCAAGTAGTGGAACGAGTCGGCGTCCTATACTGTTTTAACTTCCACACACCGAATTCACTGAAAATTGTGATTCCTTTTCTGTGCGTTTACGTTTCTTCGAAGAACGTCGAAAGACACGATGCTGCGCGCACGTCAATGACATTTTGAGGATGCCACTCGACTGCCGGACAGGGATTTCGAGTTTCAAATTAGCTTTGGACGCGCGCGTTCCATTCGCATTTCTACGAACCAACGTAAGGAACAATCACGTGAAAGTGTAAACGTTCGACATAGTGATTAAACGTGAACGAGGAAAGACACAAAAGGAAAAGAAACGAACGAGATAGCGGCTGGACCGCGGATCCGCAGAATAGCTTCAGTTTCGATGAGGATGTTGCTTCGTGAAAACAAAGTTCCAAAGGGATACCTCCGATCCTAATTTTCTCCCGCGCGACTCTCCAGAGAGAATCGATTTTCCTAGAGGAAAAGAAACCAGCGTACACAATCTTCAAGTATGCATGCGGACGCTTCGATATTTTCTACTATTAACCCATGTGCTCTAACTCCATTATGCAGAAAGTGTTTCTAGAGACTCTTCGTAAGACTCGTTACATTTTATTAGATAGATCAATCGAAGACACATCAATGTAACTAACTGGTCGACAACTGGAATCGAGTTGTCCTTGTTGTTTATTCGTAGAACGTTCGTCCTTCCAGATCATCCGCTTCAATTGACTTGTCTAAGTAATGCGAACAATTTTGTATCACGACGTTTTCTCGATAAGAGGCTCGTTGCTCGTTTCACAATATTTCCTCGATAATTGTCAAAATTTCAAGTCTGCCGTGTAACAGTTATGGTAGAACTACTATATTTTTCTGGTGTTCCGAATGTAGAGAAGTTTTAAATTAAAAAATCAATATTCTTTATATATTTGGTTCTTCATCAACGAAACTTTTACCATTGCATTCGTTACGTTTCACTGATTAAAATGACACCAAACACGATATAATTACGACTATGTCATTTGTGTAATAAGTTGATGTGCGAAACTTGAATCGAGGTGAACATGACAGTAAAGGTTTCGTAAAAAGGAATAAAAAGTTAGGAAAGTCACAGTCTTTAGCTTCGTTTGAATTAATATGAGTGTCACATTTTCGCCAATTATGGAGAGAATACTGTACTACGATTTCTCGAAGTCGTCGTAACGCCCAAGCTACTCTCAGATGGAACCGTTTTGTCGAATCAAAACGCCACCAGCCACGAGTTTCTTAACGAGAAGACGTCGTAACCACGTGATATTAAATAGCTGTAAATGTTTTCGATGGATTACGTTAATCGACTCGATTGTATTGTATTTTCAAAAAATAATGTGGATAGATGTAACACTCGGTTCTTTGTGCAGTTTTAATTCTCGTCTTCTTTTGGTTTCCTGGTCCAATGTTGATACAGACTGAACTCTCCTCGAGAATGGACCACGAAACACATATATACGTACGTTCATGCGTTAGTTTGTTAATCATGAGAGCTGACAATTCAAAGGAGAACGCTTCTAAACGTAACATTTCTTCAGAATTTAATTTCATATGTCTGAAAATATTTTTCTACGGATTACCAACATTTGGCACATCTACAGGCTAAATAAAGTAGTTCAAATGATTTGACTGTACATAAATTATAAATAAAGCTTTTACAACTACCACAGTTTTATGGAAAATTGATGAAGAAATGATTTCTTGGCACCTACTCTATAATTGATTTAGAAAAATGTATACTGCCACTGCGTTTTTGTGAACATAACGTTTAACACTTTGACTGTTACATTACCCCTATGCGGGCGACGAAATTATTTCCACAGATTACAAAATTAATTTCTACACTGATGTAAGGTAGTGAAGTCGGTTACTACGAGCTGACCAATTGTTGTACCTTTGGGTTTTTTGGGGCATAATTAACTTTATATTTATCGAATAAAACATACTAAATTCCCTCCATAACTAACCAAATGCACAGCAACTGGTCATCTCACAGTAACACTAACACAGTAACTACACTACCCAATTATATGTTACTAGTTTTATTGGATTCCAGAAGACGTAAGAATGTTGATAAAGCAATTAATATCGTACAACTTGACTTTTCAAGTGGCAATAAATGGGTTGAAACAATGAGGTAAGATTAAAAGTCTTTGCATCATGTACACAATATTTCACATAATGATCAATGAACACTTTCATTTTACATCGAATAATCATAAATTTCAGATAAAAAAATTCTCACTAAAATTATTAGTTAAAAATGCGTAATATTTCATTTGAAACATGAAATGTGAAATATCAGAATTTAATATTTCCAATAAACAAAAATGAAACTTCTTTTATTATCACTTATCATGTAAATATACAACATACAAAGTGAACGTTTCATGTAGAAAAATATTTACTTAGTGCAACGAAATGAAAAACATTTATAATTTTATAATAAATGCTTAACACATTTAATCCTTTAAGTATGGATTCTCATTGCTCATAAAATTTTGTAAAGTCATAATTCACTTAAATTTTTCACTAATGCACATGAACAAGAGTTCCATAATTGAAATACGAACTGTCAGCAACATAAAATTCAAGGAGCAGTTGGTTAGTTTATGCATAACATTTATTTCAATATATTATTTAATTGAACTTTCATAAGAAAACAATTGTTATAAGTATTAACAATATGACTCCGTATGTACAAAAATTTATTAGCGCGACTCTTAATTACTAACAATATCATTATCACCAACTGTAATCGCATTTATATATTTTATATTTAACAATAATAATAATATTTATTCATTACTGTTTTACGGTTTAGACAGTGGTAGCGTCTTGAGAAGACCGGTTTTTTTCGACAATCGATCGCGTGCGAAGATTTTGTATTTGACTGTCGCCCATACTGTTTTTCCACCGGATTGAGGATAATTTAAAACGTCCTGAAAGTAAATTGTTTCAATTAAATCATTATAGAACAGTTATTGTTCTGCATTTACATCAAGCTAACGCTTGAAACATTCAAGATAAATTCAAAATTTACTTTTCGTACAATTTGATCTCAGTTTTATTTAAGTCTATGATTTGCCGAGGAATTTAATTATCTGCGAAGCGTGATATCGTACGATGTTATCTACCGCTAAAAACTCAGCTAATTAAACCATACAAGTTTTTATAAAATCGTGTTATTAATACAGTTATCAAACAATTTCCATAATATAAAATAAACTTTTATAACAAACAGGCTGGTATTGAATTAAATAAAGAGAACTGAATCTATAATATTATCCAAATCGACTGATATTAATAAGTAAATAAATCATTTAAATGACTTACTTGAGTTACAGGGAATTACCTCGGACCGCTGACATTCCACCAACTGTTGTGTGTGGCGATCCTCAAGATTTCTTTGAATCATTGGGCAACAGCATTTACAAATTATAAGTTGGAAATATATTCGAAACCTGTAAAATACATTCCACTTTTATTTAGTAATTACGCTAATTCAAATGTTCTGAGAAATATTTATTGTATTTGTAATAATAATTTATTTACATAATACTTAAATAATTTAATAATTAATTTAATAATTTAATAATTTATTTACTATGTTGGAAAAGTAAAACTAATTGGATACCGCTGTATGTGTACACTCACAGGTAGACAACAAATAAATATGTCATATTTTTGTTTAAAATAAACCTAGGTGAAAGCATCAAATATTTTTTTAAATAAATACGGTAAGTGCAGATATTTAAAATCTAACCAGAAAATCATTCAGTGGAATAATATATTCACATATAATGTGTCCAATTTACCTATTCAAATGTAAATTAGCTATTATATTCGATGATCAAGCAATTTTCTGTGAACTGAATATATAACGAACGCGTGCGTAAACAGCAATTATGACCATTAATATCCTTTAAAAGGAAATTGTGATAATCTGGAGGTTCCAATGTTTTCAACCCCCCACCCTTCTAGTTTGTAAAATACCACAGTGAAGTATCAAACATTTTTTAATTTTGCAATGTGAGAACATTTATTAAATGTTACTTCCTAAATTATAATTTGAAATCTGACAAATGCAAAAATTTTTTCAATTCCTCTGTCTTTTTTATATACTGTAAATAAATTTAACAATCTAATTGTACAGTTTCATACAACGTTGAATACAATAACATTTTAATGTTATTAATTTATTTATATATGCGTACGTAACAGGTAATATTAAGTTTATATATTTACTCAATGGATAAATATATCTGATTGTGAAATATTTTATATTAAAATAAGATATAACAAATAAT